TGTGACCTCAGACACTCACTTGACCCTACGAGATTTTTGGAGAGAACACTTCAGCATCCTCCACTGCATAAGCCTTATAGGTAAGGCTTGGGAGAGAGTGACTACCAGGACTTTGAACTCTGCTTGGAGAAAATTGTGGCCAGATTGTGTCCACAAGAGGGATTTTGAAGGGTTTGGGGCTGACCCTGATGAGCCTATGTCACTTGTGAAATCTATTGTGGCATTGGGGAGTTCCATGGGGTTGGATGTGAGTTTGGAGGATGTGGAAGAGTTGGTGGAGGACCACAACGAAGAGCTCATCATCTGCTACAGCAGCAACAGACGATGCTACAGCAGCAGCAGACGATGCTACAGCAGCAGCAGACGATGCTACAGCAGCAGCAGACGATGCTACAGCAGCAACAGACGATGCTACAGCAGCAGCAGACAAAGCTACAGCAGCAGCAGATGGTACTACAGCAGCAGCAGCAGCTGACGGTGGTACAACAGCAGCAGCAGCTGACAGTGCAGCAGCAGCAGCTGACAGTGCAGCAGCAGCTGACAGTGCAGCAGCAGCTGACAGTGCAGCAGCAGCTGACAGTGCAGCAGCAGCTGACAGTGCAGCAGCAGCTGACAGTGCAGCAGCAGCTGTACCACCAATAGTAGCGATGGTTGATTGGGGTTTATTATACAACCTGGCCAGCTCGGAGACACGCACTCCACTTTCACACTTATCAATGATCTTTTTCTTCATCTCTATAGTAATTCTCACCCTTATTGCTGTAGGGTTGGCACTAGAAGCTTTCTTGGGGCCCATGGTCACTTATTTTCCAGAAAAAATAACCAGAAACACTGTAATAATATGAAATGTTCCGATTGTATGCTTGGATGTTACCGCGGAGGCTGGCTGGTAAACAATGCCACCGGCGGAACATGTGAGCGTGGCTCAGGCCACACATTGGACGCGTCTCGGACGAAGAGCGGTGAGCGGGTTTTTGGGGGGTATGCGAGGCAAAATTTTTGCGAAAAAAGCGAGCGGTATGCGGATTGTATGGTATGCGATGCATGCGGTATGCGGGGGTCCACTGTATATATATATATATATATATATATATATATATATATATATATATATATATATATATATATATATATATAAAATAATATATAATATATAATATATACAGTGGACCCCCGGTTAACGATATTTTTTCACTCCAGAAGTATGTTCAGGTGCCAGTACTGACTGAATTTGTTCCCATAAGAAATATTGTGAAGTAGATTAGTCCATTTCAGACCCCCAAACATACACGTACAAACGCACTTACATAAATACACTTACATAATTGGTCGCATTCGGAGGTAATCGTTATGCGGGGGTCCACTGTATATATGTATATATATATATATGTATATATATATATATATATATATATATATATATATATATATATATTATATATATATATATATATATATATATATATATATATATATTTTTTTTTTTTTTCAACAAGTCGGCCGTCTCCCACCAAGGCAGGGTGACCCAAAAAAGAAAGAAAATCCCCAAAAAGAAAATACTTTCATCATCATTCAACACTTTCACCACACTCACGCATTATCACTGTTTTTGCAGAGGTGCTCAGAATACAACAGTTTAGAAGCATATACATATAAAGATACACAACATATCCCTCCAAACTGCCAATATCCCAAAACCCCTCCTTTAAAGTGCAGGCATTGTACTTCCCATTTCCAGGACTCAAGTCCGACTATATGAAAATAACCGGTTTCCCTGAATCCCTTCACTAAATATTACCCTGCTCACACTCCAACAGATCGTCAGGTCCCAAGTATCATTCGTCTCCATTCACTCCTATCTAACATGCTCATGCACGCTTGCTGGAAGTCCAAGCCCCTCGCCGATTTTTGCCGATGTTCAAAAGTAAACAAATGATGTCATTGTCCAATAAATGTCCAACTAGCCATTCTAATATGCAGTCATGAATGGGTTTACATTATTTGTACAATTATTACAATATTGCAGTAGTCTGCATAACAGTAAATCTTCTATTTTTTGAATAAAAATTCAAAATAGAAAGCAAGAGTAATATCAGAGGGGTCTGGAGACGTGACTGATGAACAAAGAAAATGTTATTTTAGAGCCAGGAATGTCTGCATTGTTCATTCTGGACCTTATTTTGAAATTGTCATATTTTTTTAATATTCGTGAAATTGGCCAAATTGCAAATTTCTGACCACGTTATTGGGTAGTTGAAATCAGTAAATGGGCAGTTTCTTGTACTCAATCGATAGAAAAAAATGGAGTTCTAAAGAAATAGCTATGAGTTTGGTCGACTGGAACAACGGAATTAGCCGAAAATAGGGCTCAAAGTGGGTGAAATAGCCGATTTGTAAATATCGCCGAGGTCGCTAACTTTGCAAGAGCGTAATTCCGTCAGGTTTCCATCAAATTTCGTTTGTTTGGTGTCATTACAATCGGGAAAAGATTCTCTATCATTTCATAAGAATTTTTTTTTTTTTTTTTTTTTAAATTTTGTGCCACCAGGAGACACCTCAGGATTGGGGGTTGCGACAGTCAAGGGGTTAATTTAACATGGTTCAGTTTGTGGGAAGGAAAAAAAAAAATTCTCTTCTGCTCAAGCGGCCACCTTGTTGTGTAGCAGCCAGGGAGCTATCCCCTACCACTTCCCGACACCACCCCACCATCCCCTACCACTCCCTGACACCACCCCCCACCATCCCCTACCACCCCCTGACACCACCCCCACCATCCCCTACCATTCCCTGACACCACTCCACCATCCCCTACCACTCCCTTACACCACCCCACCATCCCAGCATTCGTAATTCATACATGTCCAGTCTCTGCTACAAGGCAGCTATGTTTGTCAATTGTGTTATGATATTTTAATTACTATATCTTGTATCTGCCAAGCAATCATGACACCCAGTAGCCATAATAGTGTTGCTGAAAGTGGCACGAAAAGGAGTAAGCACTTAAAGTCTTAGAATTAACAAAGATATTAGACAAGAGATAACCTGTAGCCATAACTGAAGTGTTACTTTGTACACAGAAAAAGAGGTTAACATGAGTCTGTGTGACTGAATGGCTGACTTACTGAATGACTGACTTACTGAGTGACTCTCTGAGTGACTTGACTGACTGAATAACTTACTGCATGACTAGACTAACTTATTGAGTGACTTGACTGACTTACTGAGTGACCTGACCGACTTACTGAATGACTTGACTGACTTACTGAGTGACTTGGCTGACTTACTGAGTGACTTGACTGACTTACTGAGTGACCTGACTGACTTACTGAATGACTTGACTGACTTACTGAGTGACTTGGCTGACTTACTGAGTGACTTGACTGACTTACTGAGTGACCTGACTCTAATATTATTATTGCTGAGAAGAAAAAGAGAATGATATCCATGGAATTAAAGCATGCAATCATAGATAAACATGAGAGGTGTCCAGGTTTTGAGTTGAGGGGAAAGAGGAAGGGGGGAGCTGGCTCGTAACTCAGAGCAAAAAAATTGACCAAGGGACAGCTCGTATCTCAAAAAACTCGTAACTTGGGACACTCATAAGTCAAGGTTCCATTGTATTTTAAGGTAAGTAATGAGTGCACTATATGTGTATTTTACTTTTTTTATTTTTTTTAATGCCTAGTTCTACTGCTAACTTAATATACAGTAGACCATCATTTAGCATGAGTTTATTTGGTATGATTTGGGTATTGCACGATTTGGGTATTGCAAGATTGAAGAATTGCGGCACAATTTTATGTAACACGTCGTAAAATTAATTTAACACGGTTCAGTTTGTGAGAAGGAAAAAATATTCTATTTTGCTCAAGCGGATGCCTTGCTGTGGAGCAGCTAAGTATCCCTTCCGCCATCCCCTGCCACTCCCCGACACCACCCCACCATCCCAGCAGTCATATTTCATATGTGTCAAGTCTTTCTCTGCTACAAGCTAGCAGTGTTTGTCAATTGTGTTACGATATTTTAATTACTATATCTTGTATCTGCCAAGCAATCATGACACCCAGTAGACATACCAGTGTTGCTGAAAGTGGCAAGAAAAGGTATAAGCATTTAAGTCTTAGAATTAACAAAGAAACAAAGATATTAGACAAGATATAACCTGTAGCCGTAATGAAGTGTTACTCTGTACACAGACAAAGAGGTAAACATGAGTTTGTGTGACTGACTGATTGAATGACTGACTTACTGAATGACTGACTGGCTTACTGAATGACTGACTGACTTACTGAATGAATGACTGACTTACTGAATGAATGACTTACTGAATGAATGACTTACTGACTGAATGACTTGACTTACTGACTTGGCTGACTTACTGAGTGACTGAATGACAAAGTTAGACACTCCAGTACAACCATCGACCTCTACCATCCACCTCAGCCCAGTAGGGCCACAGCATAACTCTCCACTCTCTTCATAATCATCCACAAACACCAGCACCCACAATTTAAAGTAAGAAATCCTATTATTTCTGTTACAGTTGTAGTCTTAAGCAGTAAAAACAACATAATACATCACAACGATGAACTACAGTTACATATTCACTTTTATTTTTGTAAGATGTGGAGGCCTAAAAAATTGTTGTTTGGCTTTTTGGGGGCTCCCAGGAATGTAACCCTATTTTTCCCACAAGTTCTTCAGTTCATCTAACATGATTTTTACCAAACACGGCATTTTCAGGAATGTAACTGCCGTGCTAAATGACGGTCTAATGTATGTTAGTGTAAACTTGTTTTCTAGTATTTATATGTATTTATAAGTGAAAAAAAGGGCGTTCCACTTTATGGTGATAGCCGCTTTACAGCGGTAGCCTGGAACCTAACCTGCCATATAAGTGGGGCTTAAGCATATCAATCATTGCTCTAGATGTTACACCTATAGTTGCTCTTAATTTTTAAAATCACACCTCAAATGTCTGGAACCACATGAAGCCTTACCAATTTTCTTGTAGACATTTAACATTAGAGGTATTTTGGGAGAGACAACATGTCCCTCTTGCTGAACAAAGAACACTTTGAGGCCCTCTCCTCCCCTCCATGCTATCACACAGCCAGGGGGTACATGTTCTGCCCCCACTGAAGTCTACGAGATAAAGGAATAAGATTTGAATTACAGTACATCTAAAATAAATCACAAGTAATAACTATGTAAATAACTACAGTATACAGTATTCATAAAAATCAATAGCAATATACAGTATTGAAAATAAATTTTTGTGAATGTATAGTAGTAAATATTGTTACCTGTCCTTGTCCTAATGGTATGGGGTCAGGTCCTGGGGAGCCCATAAATGAAGGAGCTCCATGAGTTGGGGCTGCTGGTGCAGGTTGGGAGCTCAGCACTGGTTGTAATGGAGTTCCAGAGTTACTTTCACTGCGATGTGTGAACCCAAGTGGCACTGCAATATTAAGTAAGGTAATTAGCACAGTCTAACAAAGTAAGATATCTCCCGTATTCCACAAGAAGTTGCTGTATAAATCAAAGTAAACTTTTTTTTTTTTTCCAACAAGTCGGCTGTCTCTCAAGGCAGGGTGACCCAAAAAGAAAATACTTTCATCGTCATTCAACACTTTCACCACACTCATACATAATCACTGTGTTTGCAGAGGCACCCAGATACAACAGTTTAGAAGTATATACTGTAAAGATATATAACATACCCCTCCAAACTGCCAATATCCCAAACCCCTCCATTAAAGTACAGGCATTGTACTTCCCATTTCCAGCACTCAAGTCCGGCTATATGAAAATAACCGGTTTCCCTGAATCCCTTCGCTAAATATTGCCCTGCTCACACTCCAACAGCTCGTCAGGTCCCAAAAACCATTCGTCCTCATACACTCCTATGTAACACGCTCACGCACGCTTGCTGGAAGCCCGAGTCCCTCACCCACAAAACCTCCTTTAACCCCTCCCTCCAACCTTCTCGATGAAGACCCCTACCTCGCTTTCCTTCCCCTACAGATTTATACACTCTCCATGTCATTTTGCTTTGATCCATTCTCTCTAAATGACCCAACCATCTAAACAACCCCTCTTCAGCTCTCTGACTAATACTTTTATTAACTCTACACCTTCTCCTAAACTAAGCAAACCAAGCCTTAAACGGTCCAAACGTATATATACGTTCTCTCACGTAGCACCCCAAACGTACATATACGTTTTATTTTTCATTCATTCAAAATTGGCGCGATAGGCCTGAGTTGCCAAGACATGAGAGAATGGGTGTGCACACTCAGTGTGCACGGTATAAAAAAAATATGGGACGCCTGGGTAACACATGGTAAGACCAGTTACATTCAGCTCCATCTTGGGTCATCATCATGGCACATCCTTGTGATTCACTTATGCCTTGTCGTATTAACACTACTATTCGAGGAAAGTGATATAGATTGTGAGCTTAGTGGATTTGACACCAATGGGGCCAGTAATATTCAAGGAATTAGTGAAAATGTCGACGATAACCCAGATGGCCCTCAGCCCATCACCTCAGGGGTAGCAACACCAGTCCTAGGGCCAAGCACCTCTGGGGTAGCCAGTGTGGCCACAGCAGACTCTAGGCCAAGCACTTCTGGGGTGGCCAGTGTGGCCACACAAGACCCTGGGCCAAGCACCTCTGGAGTGGCGAGTGTTACCCATAGGCAACTTTGCAAGAGGAAACTATCAATTTCCTGGTGTTTTAGTGATAGTGAAAGTGATGTAAGTGACGATGAGATTGATTTTATGCCATTCGAGGATTCGTCTAGTGATGGTGAAGTTCATTATTCACAGTGAAGCGTACTTTTAGGCGTCATTATCTATGTTCAGGCAGTTTGACATATGCAATCCCCAAGGGTCGTGGCAGGTCACAATCCAAAACTCCGGTCACTGATAGTGAAAGTGATCATGAAGGCGAGTATGTAGGGATGGAGGAAGTAGTGGTGGGTGGCACAGTGCCTGGACCACATGGCGCAGTGGGTGGACAGACAAAGGACCACCCGGCATCCCCTCAACCATGTGCTGCCTCCACTCCTGTCCCTCCTCCTGCTCCCCCTCGCCCCATGCCACAGGTCCACCCTGCACCATGTGATCGTGAGTGGAACTGGACTGTAGGCATACTATCAAAGATAAGGTACTACGTTCCACAATCAGCTCTCCTGGCACTGTACCATTCACTCATATACCCTTATCTTACATATGGAATTTGTGCATTGGAATCAACAACATCCAATCACCTAAAACCCCTAATAACCCAGCAAAAGGCAGCAGTAAGAATAACAAATTCCCACTCCTGCCAGCATACTCCACCAATTTTCAAAAGTCTGAATCTGCTCACCATTAAGAACATCCATACTTATTCATGTGCCTACTACATACACAGAACAATACACGCAAAAAAAAACCCCCCCACTCAAACTTTCCCCTCACCAACCTAAACAGGACACATGACCACAGCACAAGCACAGATCACTTTTTGATTTACTCGTGCCCCATATCACACTGTGTAAAAACTCTATGCACATAAAGGGCCCAAAATATGGAATTCATTACCAGAAGATATTAAAGTAACCCAGTCTGAAAATCAATTTAAGACTCTTCTCAAAAGCCACTTAATCACCCTAGACTAAATGCTAAATACTCAGTACACACTTGCTCACCTATGTACTCCCATATCATAACAAACAGTCACATTGAACCTTTTATCCATTGTTGACAGGAATATAATTGAATCATTGCTTTCAAAAAAAGCATTTTCGAATATAAATATATCCTTGTATTATACAAATTTTGATTAATTTATAATTAATATTCTACTGTACAACTATGAAATAATTACTATCCTACTGTACAACTATGATATACTCCTTAGTATTAAGTAGACTGTAAGTCAATAATGTTAAGTTGACCCATAATGCTTAGGCATAATAGAGGCTCTCTTTGCATTGCAACCCACTATTGTAAATGCAAAATCTCAATGTACTGTTTGCAAAGACATAAAATAAATTATTATTATTAACACACTGGCCGATTCCCACCAAGGCAGGGTGGCCCGAAAAAGAAAAACCTTCACCATCATTCACTCCATCACTGTCTTGCCAGAAGGGTGCTTTACACTACAGTTTTTAAACTGCAGCATTAACACCCCTCCTTCAGAGTGCAGGCACTGTACTTCCCATCTCCAGGACTCAAGTCCGGCCAGATGGTTTCCCTGAATCCCTTCATAAATGTTACTTTGCTCACACTCCAACAGCACGTCAAGTATTAAAAAGCATTTGTCTGCATTCACTCCTATCACACACGCTCACGCAGCCTGCTGGAAGTCCAAGCCCCTCGCACAAAAAACCCTCCTTTACCCCCTCCCCCCAAAACCCTTTTCCCTAGGTGACCCCTACCCCGCCTTCCTTCCACTACAGACTGATACCTCTTGAAGTCATTCTGTTTCGTTTCCATTCTCTTCTACATGTCCGAACCACCTCAAAAACCCCTTCCTCAGCCCTGGGGCAACAGTTTTGGTAATCCCGCACCTCCTCTACCTTCCAAACTACAAATTCTCTGCATTAAATTCACACCACACATTGCCCTCGACATGACATCTACACTCCCTCCAGCCTTCTCGCTGCAACATTCATCACCCATGCTTCACACCACATAAGAGCGTTGGTTTAAAACTATACTTTCATACATTCCCTCTTTGCCTCCAAGGCCCAAAGTTCTTTGTCTCCACAGACTCCAAAGGGTCCCGCTCACCCTTTTCCCTCATCAATTCTTGATTCACCTCATCTTTCAAGCCCCATCGCTAACAGTCCACTCCCGAATATCTGAATACATTCACCCCCTCCATACTCTCTCCCTCCAATCTGATATCCAATCTTTCATCACCTAATCTTTTTGTTATCCTCATAACCTACTTTTCCTGTATTCACTTTTAATTTTCTTCTTTTGCAAACCTACAAATTCATCCACCAACCTCTGCAACTTCTCTTCAGAATCTCCAAGGCACAGTGTCATCAGCAAAGAGCAACTGTGCAACTCCCACTTTAAACGTGTGATTCTTTATCTTTTAACTCCACGCCTCTTGCCAAGACCTTGCATTTACTTCTCTTACAACCCCATCTACAAATATATTAAAAACCCATGGTGACATACACATCTTGTCTATGGCCTACTTTTACTGGGAAAAATCTCCCTCTTTTCTACTACTCTAACTTGAGCCTCACTATCCTCGTAAAAACTCTTCAACTTTCAGAAACCCTACCCCTACCCAAAACCCCCTGCAACATCTGCCACATTGCCCCCCTATCCACCTGTCTACGCCTTTTCCAAATCCGTAAATGCCACAAAAACCTCTTTAGCCTTATCTAAAAATGTTCACTTATATGTTTCACTGTAAACACCCGGTCCACACACCCCCTACCCTTTTCCCAAAGCCTCCTTGTTCATTGCTATCCTATCCTCTGTCTTACTCTTAATTCTTAATAATAACTCTACCTACACTTTACCAGGTATACTCAACAGACTTATCCCCTATAATTTTTGCACTCTCTTTGTCCCCTTTGCCTTTACAAAGGAATATACATGGCTCTCTGCCAATCCTAGGTACCTTACCCCTTCCATACATTTAAATTTAAAAACTGCACCAACCACTCCAAACTATATCCCCCCCTGCTTTAACATTTCTACTTATCCCCCCAATCCCGGCTGCCTTTACCCCTTTCATTTTACCCACTGCCTACGAGCTTTCCCCCACACCCCCAACTGGCTCTTTCCCACTCCTACAAGATGTTATTCCTCCTTGCCCTATACACAAAATCATAGCTTCCTATCTTCATCAAATTTAACATTCCTCAAATATTCCCCATCTCCCAATACCTCTAACTCTCCCTTTAATAACTCCCTCTCCTATTTTAACTGACAAATCCTTTGTTCCTAGGCTTCCCTTTAAATGTTAATCTCACTCCAAAACTTTTCTTATTTTCAACAAAATTTGTTTTGGGTAACATCTCCCACTCTCTCATTTGCTCCTTTTTACATTGCTTCACCACTCTCTTTAAATCTCTCTTTTCTCCATATACCTTCCCTCCTTGCATCACTTCTACTTTGTAAAAACTTCTATATGCTAACTTTTTCCCCCTTACTACCTCTTTACATCATTCCACCCAAAAGTCCTCACCCTCCCACACCAACTTCCGTAACCACAAACTTCTGCTGAACACTCTAACACTACATTTTTAAACCTACCCCATACCTCTTTGACCCCATTGCCTATGCCTCATTAGCCATCTATACCCAATAGCTGTTATATCTTTCCTAACTGCCTCCTCTTTTAGTTTGTAAACCTTCACCTCTCTCTTCCTGATGCTTCTATTCTCCTTGTATCCCCTCTACCTTTTACTCTCACTATAGCTACAACTAAGAAGT